TGTAAAAGCTAGACGGCAAGGCGTAATTAGATTTTCGCAAGATAGATTATCATGAAGTTTCGTCTACATTATTACAGCTTTTTACATCACAAACACAGGAAAATTGGTGACGAAAGCAGGGGATGATCCCAGACGCTGCAAAATAGTTGCACTAGTAGACGAACCATGCTTCTGTGCTCGGAGGTCAGCTGCAAGCCGCCTCGCGATAGCGGCACTTGGTTGACCAAGTACAAAGCGCTGCTCTTCACATACTGTTTGCACCGCCCATTCGATGTGTAGTGCGGCGGTGAGGGCGGATGAAATGATTGTCACCAGGAGCTGTGTGTTCATACCCTTTTCTGTTGCCTGCTGTTGGTCTATGGCGGTAATAAGGTAGGGAAGAACGTTGTACATAAATATCGGAAGGAGGGGTGGCGCCGATGATAGCTGGCGCGGCATGGCTAAAACGAATGTCGCTAGGCGCCTGCACGTTTCCATCTCCCCTAGACTGGAAGCGACACTGAGCTCTGACCAGAGCAGATTAAGGAATGTAGAGGGTGAAGTGGCGGAAAGACACCGTGTAACGTCAATGCGAGGAGCCTTGTGGCGCCGAGCTAACGCGAGTGCCTCGTGGATCTCTTGCTTTGGGAAGTCCATCCATCTGGTGGCAGGGCTGATCTGATGATCCTCCAACGCCTTGCAAGATGCTGTGTCAGGTGATCAATTTAGCTGGCAGTTGTTTCAAACTTGTTACTCACGGTCTTTGTTGACTCCGAGGGTTTGGAAGCACGTGGCTCGTATAACGCTGATGTCCAGAACTGGACTCTGGGGGAAAGCTTGGATTCGTCTACTAGATAATAGTCTGAGACAGCTCGGACTACAAAGACGGCGGACAACGATGGGACAATGGGGAGAACATAAAATAGTTTGTACGATTGCGAGGTGAAGGGGAGCTATAAGCCTGCAGCGAAAATGTGTCGACGATGAATTCATTGATACTGGTATTGCACTTACGCTCTTTGCCCAATTTCAAACAACATAGCATGGATCACGCCAACGAGTGTCCACCGGAGCAACGGTCCAAGGAAGTATGACATACCGGTCTGCAGCGTGTCGTTATCAAGTCGGCTTTCGTGACGAGCCAGGGCAGCCTGCGAGAATAGTGTGGCGGAGATTTGCAGAAGGATTTGGGGTTTTGTTGTACTACAGGGAAATGAGACACAAATTTCATTGCAACGGCAGGAACACATTACCGGAGTAAGGCGTCATCAATCCCTTCGCTATTACTATCAAAAATCGCCTTGTACCAAGTGGCAAATGCGGATTTGTGTTCTAGGCTCAATTCATCCAACTGATAAACTCTCGAAGTGCATCGGAGAAGTTCTGTGCGGTACATCTTTCCGTCTTTGATGATTGGCGATGAGATCTTGACAAAGAATGTCAAGGAACAATCGTATTCCGATGACAGAAAACATACCCGGAATTTTGCCAAGACCATCTCTGCAAATAGAACTATATCGCCCAAATGGCTCACTGCAGTTTGTGGATCACCTATGAGTCGTTGTTAGCACGAATGTTGTAAGCTTCGGTGGCGAACATACCAACTGTTTCGCAATCATACTCCGAGATTATCTCCAGTGCATTACAAATCAAGTTTGAGATCTTGAGATGCAGTGATAGTATATCTAAGGCGAAATCATGGTGGTACAATGTCCGCGTTAGGTGACTCAAGTGCTCGAGATCCAGGGACGTAGAGTGTGACGTAAATCGCTGAAAAGTGCCTGATTAACGGACGGGATCAATCATGAATGGCCTCGCAATTACTTTCTGAACCACAGCAGCAAGATAGTAGTGGCTGCCAGGTTCTTGGTGAATTTTCTCCAGCAGTAACGAAGTGTCTTCTGGATCTGAATCTAAAGTGAGTTTTGAATCAAGATAAGTCTGCAGGTCCCGTCATCATCAGGAAGGAAAGTATGGTGTGATAATTTACTTCTATGGAACAGCCATGATCAAAAGCTTCTGACTGTAAACGTGTCCTGGGGTCGTTTACCATCATGGGGTCCATGGAGACCGCAAATGCATACTCGATAATTCCAACAGCTAGAAGTTGTTGAATGAATTCGCGAATGAGTGATCTATACCTTCAGAATGAGATGTTCGCACGAAGGACGCGGAACAACGATCAAACATACGTTGTGTTGTTATCCTGACTGGAATCGAGTCCTTTGCCTTGTCGGGCTACAGCGTCACATTGTGCCAATAGATCAGACCGTTGAGATAATGATAACAATGCAGCATGCATTGCAGCTCGCTGATAGAATCGTAGTTCATGCTAAGCCTTTACGACTTTCAAAAAAGATTTCGCTTACCCAATCTGCCTCTGTTGTTCCATGAGCTTCAAGACTTTTTTCGAGGGCAAATAAAAGCCGCGGAAGCTATAGATCATGAGTTGGTGGTAAGCTGTAATGATACTCACGGTGGCCTTGCACTGAGACTTACACGACCAACCACAAACGCTCTCCATAGAGAAAAGGAAGATTCATGATCATCCTTAGCAGAGCTTTGAGCGACGCAAGTCAGAGCAGCCACGAGTAGCTGCGTACAAAAGACATTCGGGGCCCATGACGTCCACCGCAATGTACCTGTCATTACTGCAACAGCTTCTAAATCACTTCCCGCTCCAAAGTCACAGGTACGGCATGCCACCTGTAAAAGATGAGTGGTGCTCGAGTTACAGCCCTGAAATACGTACAAGGCTTTGCAATAACAGACCACAGGTGACGGTATCAGTTTCACCATTGACACCATGGACGTCATTTTTTCCCATAGTCAACTGCATAGCGTGCAACATTTGTGCATCCCTGATGGCTTTTGCGTCATCTCCCATGAGCAAGCTCAAGGATAATACGAAGCCCTCTAATACCTGCCGGAGTTCCTGCGAAAGGCGCAATGACTGCAGCACATCATTCGCATCCCCGAGATAAATCATAGCTTGAGCGGCTGTTAACTGCGACATGTCAGTGACACAAGACAGTAGCAGGATTGCGAGTTCAGAAGCTGATACAATAAGCTGATGGAAGTTAGAAGGGGGAAGAGAGTGGGCAATCCGCAAAAGAGCCAGCGCATCTTGTACTTTGGAAAGTACAGAAACCTGGGAGTCCGCTAAGGGGATGATGGATCCTGCGGGTGATGATCCCGATGTGTAATGCGTATTAAGAGCTAAGCGGCAAAGCATATCCAGGGTAGACCCATTCTGAAGTTCTGGGTCCCGAGCAGCGCGTATGAATGTGGAGACGAAGACCGCGTTCGAAAGTAATCCGTCACTCAGAGCAAGCTGAAGGTATTCGCGAAGAGTAGGGTCTGCGGGGTACAAGCGATAAAGTTCAAGGATAGTATCTGTTCAACACGTATTCAATGCAGAGCCTGGATCATCAGTATGCAGACCACATACTGCTAATAGCGGTGCTAAAGTCGACACCGACATGATGTTGCTGTACAAGCAGTTTGCATAATCCCAGCCACTGAGAAGCTCCGGTACACCATTATAGCATGTAGTAGTACTACATGATAGAAACTACTCACCTGTTGCGGAGATACCCCGCATTGAAACGAATTCCTCGTCAACTCAGCGAGCGACATGTTACAGGTAAGAACTACTGTTGCCGCCCTTTAGTATTTGCTTGGTTTGTTTTGTTCTTTCACGACGTGTTCAGCGGAATACTGCGTCAATGTAGAAATAAAGCAGCGTAAGGATTCACGCGCAGGGACGATAGCCTACGCGACCTTCAGTAGCAGATTGAGCTGAGGAATTTGTGGCTGTGGACTATGACTTCCGAGTTGCCGACGCAGCACCTAGTTCCTTGTAATTCTCATCAGTTCACATCTCCATAGGATTTGATATATTGCCATATCTCAGAGACATAAGAAAAAATGCGGCCGTGGTTGAAGGTGCCCTTTGTTTGCAACTCTCAAGTAAACACGAAATGGTGAGAGAGCTTCACTCATGACTGTCATCGTATTCCAAACATTTGTAGTGATTCTACAAACTCGTCGCGTACAATACGTCGTCACAACTCGATCGTCAAAACCCCGAACTACTCTTGGCGGGTATAGATTCGTCACTCGTTGATTCTGTCGTCGGTGACGAGAATGTCTTAGACGCCATTTCCGAGTATCTTGGCTACCTTGACCTGACCACCAATGCTGGTCAACAAAGTTTCCTCGACACCTTCGCTCCGGAAACTCCGCATACTCGGTTTCATGGAAAGTGGCTTAATTCTCAACACATGCCACAGTGTCTCATTTACGATCTGTGGTGATGTCTGCCGAGTTGCACAAACAGATGTGTGTTGAATATTCGATGGTCTTGCTTCAATGTTTTTGCAAGACAATACTGTATTTCACAGTGCGTCTCGCCTATACGATTGCCGCGTATCAGAGAAACGGCAGCTCAGATCACTTTTCCCCTCGATGCCATGACTATTCCATGCATCACTGTAATTGGCACGCGACCCATATTTTGTTTCGTCTCTGTCACCGAAGCGCTCCGTGTTGCGGTTGCAAATGGCCAGTATCCCGAAGCTGACAACCGTGGAACGGTCATCAAGTGTGTCAGCTCTTAGGGCACACCGTCGAATCAGAGAAGGCATGGAGACACCAGAGTACAGGCGCGTTAGTTTTCAGCATCTTCTCGCACTCAAAGACCTTGTGAAAGTGTATAGGCTGACCTTCATTGTCTGACCGACGTTGTTTGTGTGCCTCTAAAAATGCTTCCTTGACCAGAGTCCTCCAGTTGTCCAGATGTGGCCTGTTGTGATAGTTAGCTTCTTCGTTCGACTGGTGTATTTACTACTCGGTATGTTCACGAGAGCGATGATAGTTCCTGTTTCTACCAGAGCTAGTTGTGGCTGTTGTCGCCGATATGTTGGCATTTACTAGCATTACTCTTTCTTGTTTTCGAATGGATTTTTTTCGCTTTTTGCGCGCTCATTACGCTGCTTGACCCAGGGAAGGAGGATTGTGTCGACCAAGAGTTAGCATAGTTAACAGCTTAAAGTAAAAGTATTTATCATAAATTTAAGAACTAGGGAAAAGGTGAAGGATTGGGCAGGAGGTTGAGCGTTGCCAGTATGTGTTGTCGCGCGGTGTTACCACAATAGGAAGCTGCGAGTTTCACAAGTTCCAAGAGCATCCTACATAATACATCTTGGCAACGTAGGCCATCAGAGAACTGTGAAGAAGATATCGTCCTTTTAAAATAATTCCCTCACTAGACTTTCGCTATCAGCCTCCGGGTTTCTTGTGGTGTAAAACGCAAGATGATGGACAAAACGCGAACGAGATTGGGCTGAAACAACGGATTATTAGCACGAACATATTAGGTGTTCTGCACTCACTCTCATCTCCTTGTGCTCTAAAAACTGCAATATCACGTTTCGAAGGTACTCCAGGTTAATGTCTTCATCGCCTTTGGACGGGGTGGGCGATGTTGGTCTAGGGGATGCAGCTCGCAATGGAAGATCAGAGCCGGACGATACCGACACGCGAGAATCAGTGTTCTCGGTCCGCGAGGTCCAATATCCCACTCCTGGATTGCGCTGACGCTCAAGTAGAGCAGCCGAGTTTTGCACCTTGCGGAGTTCTTCTCGGAGCGTCTGCAAGTGCTATGAGACAAAAGGGGAGTGAAGAGCTCGGAGAGTCATCACCTTGGTGTGACCACGCAGTTGTACTTCATGAGCCTTCAGGTTTTCAAGCTGGCTCTTGTAACCTTCGGCTTCTGCTTGAGCGTCCGAGATGCGAAGCTGGAACGACGCCTGTATAGCACTTGTCATAAAGAGCATTCTGGCGCATAGTACACAAACCATACCTCGGAATTGTTCATACGGTCAACCTGTAGCTGAAGTTCCAATGCACGACGCTGGTGATTCTGCACCTCAGCTGTTAGCTTCTCGATTTCAAATTTCAGTACCCCTGTAGTGCTCTCTTTCTCTTCTCGTAACTTTGCAGAAGACTGCAGAATCGTCTTCAACTCGTCCGTTTCTCTACTTTTATCGGAGAGCTTGCGACTCCAGTCCGCTTCGCTCTCTGTCCGCTCCTTCTCTGCGAGGACCAAGTTCCTCTTGATTTCTGCTAATCTGGCCTCGTACTTGGCTTCCATCGTGGAGATAAGCTGCGAGACATCTTCCTGTGGAGCGCCTGGCTCATGCGGTCGCGTTTCTTGTTCCCCTCGAAGATCTGAGATTTCCTCGGCGAGAAGAGTAAGGCGATCCTGTGCTTCCCTGAGCTGGAACTGTAGTTCAGTGTGTTGACCCTGGAGGGTCCCGACGTGGTGCTGAGAGGATTCCAACTCGGCCTGCCGAATCTGGAGTTGTTCGAAGAATGTCCTATTCTCCCTAGAAAGATTATTGACAGATGCTTCCAATGTAGCGATCTGTGACTTCTTAAGAGTCAATTCCGTTGAATGCGACATCTATATTGCAATTTCTTAGATCATTGACGAAGTTGCGACCATCTATACGAACCTTCAGCGCTGCAATTTCAACTTCAAATTGTGCGCGGGTGGTAGAAAGCTCCTTCTCACTGCGATCCTTGACAGCAGCTACCTCTTTGTCGAACTGGGTCCTTAAGCCTGTTACCGCTTTCTCTCGCTCTGCATTGACTGTGTCGATTTCCGACTGTAGCCTTGCTCGTTCAAGCCTCTCTTTGTCTCGCTCCTGCCTGTCCTTTTCCTTAGATTCCCCGATTTCCTTCAGCGCATCGTCTCTATCCTTCTCGGCTTTGACAAGCTTCTGACGCACAGTCTTGAGGAGGCTAATTGCCTTGACGCGTTTCTCTTCCTCTTCTTTTGCTACTTCTTTTGCTTTTGCAACTTCAACTGCAAGTCGTTCGATCTCGGCTGTTTGCTTCCCTGTTTCTTCTTCCATAAGAGAAGCTGAAGTTTGGGAGGCTGCAACGAGGGCTTCTGCTTCGTTAAGCTGTTGACGAAGCTTGTGAATCTGGTCCAACTGAGACCTGGTTTCAAGCCTGTGAGTATCTCTGAGCTCCTCGATACGTTCCTCTTGACCTGTTTTAACGAAAGTCAGCATTCTCTTATGGCGATACGAACAGTTCATTACGTGTCAGTTTTCCGTTGAGACGCTGTAGTTCATCTTGTGTAAGCTACTTAGACGGTTAAGAAACTAGAACCGAGCAAACATTGTGGCACGTTACCTCAATCTTCATGTTCATGTTAGACAAATAGTCACGTAGTACAGTTGCATCATCAGCATCCTCCAAAGGAGTCAATTCCCGAATGACATCATCTACAGCCGACCGTTCTGCATGAAGTTTTTTAAAAGATGTCGACATATCTTGAAAGAGTAAGCATGTACCCAACATACAGTCCAACCAACAACGTACCTGAAAACCGTTGTTCAACGAGTCTTAGACGTTCTTGAAGAGCTTCTACGTCAGCTTCGCTGCACTTTGACGAAGGCACAGTAGAAGGGATTTCTGGAGGTTGTTCCGTCTTTTCACCATCGCCATCGCCGTCTGAAGTAAGTACTTCTATTTGAATGGGAATATCGGCGTTTCCATCAATGTCTCCAGAATCCGAGTCTTGAGTTTTTGACACGTGCGAAGCAGATGAGTCCCTATGGATAGGAATATCGGTGTTGCCATCGATGCCTCCCGAATCCGAGCTGTGAACTTCTGGTACATTAGAAGCAGATGCATCTGTATGAACGGGGACATCGGGAGTGTCATCAATGTCTCCAGATTGCGAGTCTTGAACTTCTGACACATGCGAAGCAGATGCATCTGTATGAATAGGAACGTCGGCGTTGCCATCGATATCTCCAGAGTCAGAACCGTAAGCTTCTGTTACATGGGAAGCAGATACGTCTGTGTGGATGAGAACATCGACGTTGCCATCGATGTCTCCAGAATCCGAGCTGTGGACTTCTGACGGAAGTGCTGTGTCTGTAGCAGCGGGAAGATTATTAGGCAGCTGGAGATTTTCTTCTATCCCGATAGATGCTGATACGGGTTTTGGGGAACTGACAGAGTATTCTGTCACAGGTGCCTCCTCTACGTTCGGTGGCAGCGGAACCTGAACTAGAGCTTGAAGAACCTCTGTTGTTGAGGTAGCATGAGGACCTTCTTCACTAGCATCTTGGAGGTGATTTGCAGCGAGGGACAATGGTGAAGGATCTGCCGGGAGGTCGCTGGGGTGGGTGTCAAATACTTGCGGTGGAGGAGCTGCTGTTGGAAGTAATGCAGGGGAGGCTGGCAGAGGAATAGATGTGGGGGAGAGTGGATGCTGCGTGACAACAACTGCATTCGAAACCGGCGAAGCTCTCGACGATATAGCCGGCGATGTAGTATTAGATGCATCTCCGACTGAGAATGACGCGCGTAGACGTTCTTCGAGAGTAAATTTGCGTAGCCCAGGATCACTCGTACTGTTACTCTGAGTCTTTGAGATAGACGAAGAGACAGGACTAGATGATCGTGGACTCCAGGGCGCTGTGATGCAAATGATCTGCGCATGTTAATCAGTGCAGCGTCCGCGAGTTGATTTGTGGACTGCGACTGTCGCGTAGACTGCCCGTCAGGTGAACCGCTTGTGAAATGGTTATCATCGCTGTTGAGGTCTTGAGACCGACGGGGCTGCGGCTGCGCAAAGCTTTCCACTGCCTGCCGAAACTGTGAAAACATTAGGGACACCAGAAGTACTCAAACCTAACTGCAGAGGCAGTGGTGGCCGTCGCACTTGGTCCTGGACAATGATCGGCTCTCGAACAAGTCTCCCACGTGAGCGTGCCAAAGGAAACGTTCAGATTGCATATTTTAAGTTTGAGAGTACAACTTGCTATAAAACGAACAAATATTATACATGATTTTACGATGAAGATTCATTCGATAGTGTCTCTGCTTCCTTTCCCTTTCCATTCAACTGGGTGAGAGATGTAAACGACCCATTCAGTGAAGTTGAGCTCGGTAGTGACTCTGCAGTAGATGGCACCGGGGCCGAGCTAGCTAATTGCCATGAAGGTATCGACGGTCTACTGGCCAACAAGGGTATTGGTGTCGAAGGAGAGCTCGTCAGTGGAGTAGACCCGCGAGTAAGTAACAGAGCCTTGAGGGATTTGAGTTCTTGCTGCAGCTCAGAAAGAGACTCCTTTTGAGACTCTTTGTTCTTCTCAATCATCTGTGTTGAAATATGAGAGACGCAAAAATGACCGACATCGCCGGCCCTACCTTGGGAAGCATTTCTCGGATATTTTCCACTTCGTCACGAATTTCACGCATCTCGTCCCGCGTCTTTGACTCGCCTTCCCTCATTTCAACCACTACCGACTCAACGTCTTTGGTGACTTTGTTCACCCGTTCATTTTGTTCATACACCGCAGATTTGACGGCTTCGGTTTCTGCCTGGATTTCTTTCAAGAGGGCCTCTGCAGCATCAAATTGTGCTGTCAGTCCATCGCGGTCTTGTTCATATGCAGTCGCTGCTGGAGGAATAAGGTGTGGTTGAAGATGTTTCTAGGGCCAAGGTAAAAGCAAGAAATACGGAGTGATTCAAGTCGTTCACCTTGAACAGCGAAACGGCACCATACACCACTGACCCTGATATCACAGCAGTTATCTATAGTGACTATGTCACAACTTGCACCACAAGGAGAGTGAAATGACGCACGAAATAATCGCGCCAGTCCCATTGCTGAGAAGGATAGCTAGCTGGCCCATATGTTACATACGGTGATTGGAAATTATTCTGAGGCTGTGCCGCAGGCTGCGAGTGCGTAGGTTGGCTCGCCGCCTGCTTCATTGCCTCCTCGATCTCTGGTCCACTGAGGCCTTTTGCTTCAAGGAATTGGACACGCTGGGCAAGCGGCGCTTGTTGAGTCTGATATACCCAATGAGTGTTGTACACTTCAAGAAATTTATGACTTGCACACCGTAAAGTCTGAGAGGAATGAAACGGCACTACGGACGAGTTCGCGTCTATCAGTGTCTGCCATGGTGCTAGTAACTTATAAGTCTTTGAATACTATGCTGATTAGGAAAGTCTACTCCTTACGTGTTCTTGCGCTCCGAATTCATTCTCCGATCGTCTCCAATTTTCCCGCAGGACGTTGGACCAGAATTCTTTTGCAACAAGTATGTTTAGGTTGGCAGCTCAGCGGGGAATAGCGAACAAATTTGCTGGCTCTTCAAGAGGTATCTCATGCTCTGCCTCGTGTTCTCTACATGTCTAACGTTTCCTGGTTATCAAGCTCTGAGGGCTTCTTCACTGTATGCTCGTTGCCGGTGCTCAACATGGAAACCAACGTCTGGCCCTTTTCTGCCTTCGGCTGTAAGCTGGGGTATGATCATGCTTATTGGAGCAAATTTTCTCGTGTCTGAGATATTCTAACAGGCAACCGACGTGGCTATGCTGAAGCCGCTGGCAAATTCTCTCGCGACAAGCCCCACATGAACATTGGCACCATTGGTAAGGCTACTTTTTTTTGCATTCTGACGCGCTTTAACTTAGTTTGATCTTCAGGTCACGTTGACCATGGCAAAACAACGCTGACTGCAGCTATCACCAAAGTTCTCTCTGACAAAGGCGCTGCAAAGTTCACGGACTACTCGCAGATTGACAAGGCGCCTGAGGAGAAGGCTCGTGGAATTACTATCAACTCTGCGCATGTTGAGTATGAGTCTGATGGGCGCCACTACGGACACATTGATTGTCCTGGTCACGCTGACTGTTTGTCCTTCCTTGCCTAAATACGTCCCCAGTTTTATGCAGCTAATCCTCATAGATATCAAGAACATGATTACCGGTGCTGCACAAATGGACGGAGCCATTATTGTCGTATCGGCAACGGATGGTCAGATGCCTCAGACCCGTGAACATTTACTTCTTGCTCGCCAAGTTGGCATTAAGAAACTGGTCGTCTTTATCAACAAGGTTGACATGATTCAAGACCCAGAAATGCTCGAGCTTGTTGACATGGAGATGCGCGATCTGCTGTCAACTTACAACTTTGACGGCGAAAACACTCCCATTATCATGGGTTCAGCATTGGCCGCTTTGGAAGGTCGGGATGACAGCGTAGGGAAGGAAAAGATCCTTAGTCTTGTCCAGGCTTGTGATGAGTGGCTTGACGTTCCTCCTCGTCAGTTTCTTTTACATGCGGTTCTTCATTAGGAGAGTTGATTTTTTTTTTCATAGGTGACCTGGAGAAGCCTTTCTTGATGCCTATCGAAGGTAACATCAATATCATTGTTCTCAGGGCTTTGACATATTTACTCCCCTCAAAGATGTGTTCTCGATTTCTGGCCGTGGCACTGTTGCTACTGGACGAGTGAGCTTCACGTTAGGAACATGTATCCTCTGAGCTCACCTGTTGTACAGGTTGAGCGTGGTATTGCAACTAAGGGTGCTGAGGTCGAGGTCGTTGGTCTTGGCAACACTTTCAAAACCACATTGACTGGTATCGGTACGATCAATACCAATGCGTTATCAAATTTTGGATCTCTCATGAATTTGCAGAGATGTTCCACAAGGAACTTGACCGAGTATGAGACACTCTATCTTGTGATATGCGTCATGTTTATTTTTATCCATTTTTCAGGGTGAAGCTGGCGACAACATGGGTTGCCTCCTACGTGGTGTCAAGCGGGAACAAGTCCGCCGTGGCCAGGTTATCATTGCCCCAGGCTCGATGAAGGCTGTTAAGAAGTTCCAAGCTCAAATTTACGTCCTCACTAAGGATGAAGGTGGTCGCTACACCCCATTCATGAGCAACTATCGTCCTCAGCTTTTCCTCCGGACTGCTGATATTACCGTTGCTCTAACCTTCGCCGAGGGTACTCCTGACGCCGAGGAGAAAATGGTATGCACTATGCCGTTTTCTGATCTATTGCTTACACTTTTTTGTAGGTAATGCCCGGAGATAATGTCGAGATGGTTTGTGAGCTGGTCCACGATGTTGCCGCCGAGGCTGGTTCCCGCTTTACTCTTCGTGAAGGTGGCAAGACAAGTAAGTTCTGATTTCGTATGCTCCATCAAGTCCTAGCTGAACAACCACGATACAGTCGGCACTGGTATCGTCACGAAGATCCTGGAGTATGCATGAATGATACTAGATTATTATATACTATTCTGTCGTAATCCTTGCTTTTCTTCACTTGTAGTGTTGTTGCATCCCCCCTCAGCATCATGTTCAAAAGTAGACTCAGCTCATTATGCACTCCATCTGTCGTTTATCTACGTGGCCGCCTTGTAGCCACTATTGGCGATTTTCCCTACGGCTGTCCGCCACCCCTGATCAGGAGTAAACGTCGGTTGTTTGAAGGTTCTAAAATGCAATGCCAAGATTATTTGTCTCACACCTCACACCCCCACTTGCATCAGCTACCTTACGCTCGCTTGCCTCAGTAACTTAATTATGTTCTCTACGATCAGACAAGCTGCTCGTGCGCGAACGATGTCCTTGACGACTGCGAGGACAAGTCCCTCGAATATCATGCGCATTCCAGGTTGTCGGACTATCGTTAGTGAGTGAAACCCACCACCCGCCGAGTGAACCCTTATCTGACAGTCTCGCCTAGCAAAAAAGTATACCGAGGAGCACGAAGTCGTAGCTTTTGACGATGAGACTGGATTGGGTGCTGTGTCTATAACGCATCATGCGCAGGAGAGTCTTGGAGATGTTGTGTTCGTGGAGCTTCCTGCCGTAGGCACGAAAGTTTCAAAAGGCGGTAGGTACCCGTTTCCTGTGAACAGGTGAACAACGCGCTAAAACTCATTTGTAGACCAGATTGGTGCAGTTGAGAGCGTCAAGGCAGCCTCGGATATAGTTAAGAGACACTGATTGCTTTTTGGCCCATAGCTCATGAATGTTCATTTACACAGTATGCACCAGTATCCGGCATAGTCACTGAGGTGAACGAGGCCTTGAATTCTGAACCTGGACTCTTAAACCGCTCTCCCGAAGAAAAAGGTAATCTTTTTTACATCCGATTGAGTTATAGCAGAATCATTAACATGAGGCTTGCAGGTTGGCTTTGTAAGATCAAACTTTCTGCTCCCGAGGAAGTGAGTGGTTCACACGTTTCTGTAAGGATTCTAACAAGCAGCTTATTGTAACAGATCAATACACTGCTCACGCTCGAGAGCTACAAAGCGACTTGGGAAGCGTGAATCGCAATACTGAAGGAGTGACTATCTACCTTCTATTTGGTCTGCCTGCAGGAGACTAAGTTTGACCAACAATACAAGACCTGGCCTCAACTGCCATACCTTTGTTATTACTTATATTATCATAGATGTTTAGAAATCATCAGCTCTTGCAATGCATTCTATCTCGAGTACCAGTATGGATTGTCAGAATGAGATGGTAAGGTAGTTGATGAAATTCATGATGATGGTTCGTATTTGTATTTCTCTCCACGAGCTTCCATACGTTCCTTGGCTTCCCTTAGGGCCCATGTTTGTATGCTGTATAGATCAAGTTGACTGATGAACGAGCTGGCTCAGCAGAAGAGATACGTCGCCCACCTTGTGTCAGGCTTGTAGTACAATAATACTGCAGCCATTGCCATAGACCCGAACATCCCTACATACCAGATGTTTTCCCACTCCTCTTTCACTCGCTTTTGTCCTGGTGCAGGAGGCTGAAGCGCTCATCTCGTCAGCTTCCCAGAGGTCCTGAATAAACGTTACAAACATCACCTTTTCGCCAAAAAGCAAACCGCTAGGCTCGTTGAATTGTGGTGGGCCATGGGATGCAAATCGCCTGCCTGCTATGCGGCGTGGTACTTTCACTTGAAGCGCACGCAAAGATGAGGTCGGGGGCATGAGGAATATTGACTTGAAGTTGACCGACTCCAGTGTCCCTCGGGTAATTTCGAGGTGGATTGGTCTAAATAGATGCAAACACGGCTTCATGGCCGCCTACTTCTGGGCACTTCTGAAATTTTGTGCCTTCATGCAGTATTTGCCTAGGCCTCAATATTAATCTTTATGATGTCTAGAAAGCAGCATTAATACAATCCACAATACTGAAAATTTCAGCAGCCCAGAGAAGTTAGCAAAAGAAATAAAAGTCCTCAGTTGTCTGAGGTATCCTTGTAATTTAGCGCTTGTTTCGTGACTGGATTAATCGAGAAAATAGATGATGATCCTAGACTACGTGTAGTCTCATTTGAGTATTATCTTTCTGATTGATGCAAGCCTAGGCGCCAATGCAAAGCAGGATCAGATGCCATATCTGTTATAATGTATGGCTGATCCGCACGAATGCATCTCAGACTTGGAACAACATATATTGTATCGTGAAAAGCCATCGATAGCATAGTGGTGCAGCAGAATCGGAATAGATAACTTCCAGGCAAGCCCGAAAGATGTTGTGGTATAAGTTTCGGAGGCGGAGGTGACATGCAAGCGGGAAGATTGTGACATAGACATCGACGGTTCGAACAACAAGAGCGACTAAATTTACTTCCGGTCAAGAATGACAGATATTTTTTGCATATACCTGTACCCCGAATGGGTCCAGGGGCCAGGAACTTCGTTACCAGGAGTCAGACCATATACTTAGCAGAAGGAAGGCAATTCTTCATGTTCAGAGTACGCACAGGTTGTAGTTACGCTCAACAAATTCAATGGACATCGCGGCATAGACTTGGTCAAAATAACGTAGTCGCAATGTCATCTTACACAGACAACAAAGTCAAAGCAGAAAGCTATTGGGCTGCGTATTACCCCCACCGCACACCACAATCACGATTACTCTACACCGTATATCAGTATTTGAGAATACCGGGTGTTATCGATAGAACGAACCTATGTTAGTCGAACGCATCAGCGTCTTCAAAGATGCATCAGGGAATCGCTGGAGAATGCGACAGGGAAATGTCTCTGGACGACTAAATAACAAGAGCTCAGCATACCACTCTCGGGGCCAGATGAAATTCTACAAACACTGTGAAACCAGTGGTGAACTTCGGAACGACTGGGATGTCCATTCCATGTTCATCAAGAGCATTGTGGACCGAGAAAAAAGCCAGGAAATTTGCCATCGCGATCCAGAGTGAGGCGTCTACGACATGCCGTCCCACACTGCCGGTGACCAGTTGCTTTCAACAGTGGGCGAAGGAAAGCGAATAGATGCTCACCAAATCCGGCGACCCCAACCGAAGCCTAAACGCATATTGTCGTTGTTGAGAGACCCATCTGCTTGGAAAAATCTTTCCGGTTTGAATTCGTTAGGACTGGGGTATTTCGTTGTATCGTGTGTCATTGCCCTAAAGGTTTCGTTATTTGGATATATCCAGGATAAGGGTAGTGGGAACTTTCCATGCATTTGGAAATACAGCAACACCTAACAAACTGGTCGTCAGCGGCTATTATCAAATCAGCACGAGACACACCTTTAGGGATGAAATAGCCATTGTAGATGTCACTGGTTGTTGTTGCGTGTGGAACACCTGCGAATATTGTCAGAGGATATTTGGAAATGATCTGTGCTTAGGACGAACCCATTGGAATCACTGGGTGCCACCTAAGTGTTTCACGCAAAACAGCCTCTAGGTAAGGCAATGCTGGTCTATCATTGAAATTAGGGAGTCTATCTTTGCCAACGACTCGATCAATCTCCGCCTGCGCTTTAGCTTGTACCTCCGGGTTGAGCACCATAGCAAGAAAGAACACAAGTAACGTGGCAGTGGTCTGAGTCGAGGGTTGCAGACTGATTATGATTGGCAAATGAAGACCAGAAGAAACTCACTGTCTCAGTCGCCGCTGAAGACAAAAATAAGCATCGAGAGAAAACAATTCGTCAACTTGCATACCTGTGAATGCAACGGAAGCAGCCTCCTTAACTGCAGTTGTATAGACGTCGTCCTCTTGACTGGTCTTGTTCAAAGCATCAGCTACCAAGCACGGCCTCATGTCATTGGCAGACTATCAATGATTCGTTAGTTCGATGTACCTCCACTAGTGGTGTACTTCACCATCCTCTCTTTGACATATTGAAAGGGTATCTCCTTCACATCATGGCCTGCTTGGATACACTTGAGTGATGCTTGCTTAAATGTGGCACCGGGAAACCAAGCAGGTAGCTTCAAAACTAGAAGGGTGATTTAGTTACTTATATGCAGTCACAGCATGTGCGAACGTACGGAAAGGGAATGTTTCCATCAATGTCATAGCAGCTGGCGCGAAACCATCGACTATAAGTTCCCCATACTTTGTAATGGCGTGGGCAACGTGGTCGTCCTCGGCTTTGGCTTCACAGTCGTATATTATAGACAGCATAAATGTCAAAGTAAACCTGATAAGAATCAGCTTCAGCGCGAGACCGAGCAAATTGTCGCGACCAACATCTGAAAATGGTTTGGATAATTGTCAGGATCCTGTAGAAGACTGGACAGCATCTTGTGGGCGGAACGGAGTTGCACGGCTTGATGAGCAGGTGTAGCAGCTTGATGAAATACCTGATGAAAGATTCGTCGGTGAAGGCGCCACCTGCTTGTCATCAGACACCCATCAACATATCAAAGAATAACCCAATTATGTACCTGTTTCCATATGGCATGAACCCCATGTTGAAATCTGAAGCGAAACTGACAACGTGTTAGTGGTTAATGCCGACTAACAATCCAGGATGCAACTCACGCTTCGTAAACAATTGATTGGGGTCTATCTGAATATATGCTTGAACGCCGTTCAAAGAGGTCTTTAGCGACCTCCTCAGAATTAACGACCATGACAGGCTTGTTGAGGAGACGAGCATAGATGATGTCACCTAAAGAACAAAATGAGCTGTCATGGACGGATCCTAGCCATGATGTACCAACCATATGTGGATCTCCAGGCATTGAAGGTCAGCCAAGGCCGAGCGGAATCAAGACTGAGAACATTTCCCAGTACTGGAAGGGGAGTAGGACCAGGCGGCAGGGGAGGATGCGATTGATTGAGCCAATATTTTCGATTGTAGCTTAAGACAGCTACCATCAAGGCTGACACTGCCAAGTAAAGTCCGGGTCCATTATCGAGCATCGTTGGATGAGACTTGCTATCCAATAGGTATTCAAAGGAGGAGGGTGCATTGAAGACTAGGTCAGCTTGAAGTATATATCACATCCGGCTCAACTGAGCCAAACAATTGATCTGATGCAGGATGTCAAATGTACTATATCAAGTAAGCTGGCATGTGAACTGCCCCCGAGGACGACGAGGTCCACACTACAAAGAGTTCCTCTGCATATTAGCGCTGATTGTACGTCAAGATTTATCTTCGTTGCGGCAAGAGCGGAAGCGGGTTTCAAACATTCATGAATGCATCATGGGCTTAAGGCGCAAATTGACAGCAACGAATGAGAATGATCTTATATGAATCAAGAGTAGGCAATTACTAATTAGCAAAGGAGCTGTGACAGAGCTTGATGATTAAAAGGGCTCGCCTTCATCTAACATGACACGGTAAGCCATAGTACATTGCGATGTTTGAATTCTGGAAATCCCATTGAGAACAGAAGGACAAAGTCTGATGTTTTTCGAGAGCCGCGCCACAGATCACTCGGCTTGTCTACGTGCTCGCAAAAATGTCCTAGCAAAGTCTGCCAGATAAGACCGAGCATGTCATCTAGCTGATTGGACCTGTACGGCATGGATCTTCTGGATCACATTCTCGATTGGGAGGCGTTCTGGCGCCTGTAAGATCTTCGAGACATCGTTCAACGGCATAAGTCTTGCTTTGGGTACTTACAAGAGGAATGTGCTCGAATATTGCGCCGGGTGGAGTCAAGCTAGTTCTCGAGTTCTGTTTCCTTATGACGAAGAACCCTTGTGCATGCCCCTAATTGATAGTCATGTGAACGCTCGGCGTAAAGCATCTGGGCAGAAATAGCTCCTCCACGACGACATCGATGACCCCCAAGCTGTGATGCTTCAGAATATTAATATAGCAAGACTGCCAACCAAGCGGATCTATATCTAAGGCACGAACTTGAGTCTATACATATACGAGAGATGTCGGATCATACGCTCACCTTCATACATTGAGATGGTCGCAAGAAGTCGTAAGCCGCCGAAAGTTGTCGCATATGCTGGCCGTAAACCATTCTACAACCAAAAGTGAAAATCGAGATAGGACTCGGAAGGTCAGCGCTAGCTGCGCAAAGAGTGACCCGTTACCAGAAGCACGCCGGTACTGTGTATCAAACCTAGCCAACTATCTGTAGTGGCACTCGTGCCACATGTGGCGGGGTAGGGGTATTCGCACCTAGGGCGATGTGCCCGCAATGTAGCGGCGGAGTGCATGACAAGATGGCTTGAGGTGCGAGTTCACACATGACAGTTACGCGAATTGCTTCCGCAGAACCGAGTTCCGTCCTTGGATCTATAACATGAGTAGTTCCTATAATTAAGAGTGATATTACCAATGATCACGGTATAGATTTGGACAAAATGACGTAGTCGCAATCTAGTTCCTCGTCTTGCCAGTCACCCTCCACATATCCAGGTGAACTAGGATCGAGATCAAAGCTAAATTCATTGGTCAATGAGGTGCAAGGGATGTAAATAAAGTGAACACACCCCAAAGATTTATAGAAAGCAGACGCAGCATCATTGGCTACTATTTATGAGGATAGGGCAAGTTGAAGCTGTGTATCGGAGCTTACCTTTAAAGACGGTCAACATAACATTCTTCATTCTCCATCGTGAGCCAATGTCGAACAGAGAGCCCATCAAGAGCTTTCCAACCCCGAGTCCTCGAGATTCTTCGGTCACTTGGAGCTCATAACTTTCATCGATCAATGAGCTAGGAGCCTCCAACCTGTAGCATTGTACCCACCAATACACCACGTCTTGTTTGGCTTCACGTTCAAAGCGGAAGATAGTATATGCGACTATCCGAGATTCTGACGGAATTGATTCACCACCTGAGGGCGTATCATCGCGTCGCTCACATAAGACGAGCCGAGCGTGTGGGTGAAACATCTCTTCTTTCTTTGAACGAGGATCCCAGCCAAATGAAGATGTCGTGTAGCTGAGCGGGGTGAATCATGAGATACTCGAAGATGAAGCATGGCATGAGCTCACAACAGGTGCATATTGGACTCGAAAATGTTCCATATTCGCTCGGATTCAACGTCGGACAGCTCTGAAGAAGTCTTCACGGCGAAATGCAGTCTAATCGTATGGTTATGTGAACAAACATGTCGCAATTTACAAGGTAGTTTGCATAAGACATACCTGGTGCCATTCAACTCTCTAGGTGTCGAGATGCAGGCTTCGAGCTGTGCTGAAGTCGCCTAAGCTATGGTTCGAGTGAGGTTTTCTGTCAAACAAGACGCGGAAAACCTTGTTGGCTCTATGAACTGCACTAGACCTGCATCCTATGCGAGGTCGCTGAGTGACTGAACGGTCGCGGTCTGACAACAAAAAACGTCTCATATCAACACCGAAAACACACCGCGAGCAGTTCTTCACGCACCAACTCGTAACCAAGTTGATGAAAGGTTACTTGTAAGCAACTTACGTCGTAATTGGTCGGTAATTTCCAATTTGGCAATATTAGTTTGCGGAGATTTTTGATTGCAAGTTCGTTCTACATCGCAGTCGCAGCTCGCGTACCGAGTCTCACTCACTTCACTTTGTGCCATACTCGCGGCTAGCAGAACAAGCAAAATATGAAGCTTGACGCAACAGATCTGCGATACATCACCTCGGATGAATTTCGAGTACTAACTTCAGTAAGTAAGGGGGTCCTTCGTCAAACTGATGATGGCCGTATCTCAAAACACTCGAACGCAGGTGGAAATTGGATCGAAGAACCACGAAGTTGTCCCAACTCCCCTCATCGTACAAATCTCCGGCCTTCGAAATGGGGGCGTTAACAAGCTGATCGGGAGTTTGGCGAAACGCAATTTAGTCGCTAAAGTGCAGAACTCGAAGTGTTAGTACATGCCCTTTTGTTTAGTCTTCCTTGTAAGCCTGACTTTCGGTGATAGATGATGGATATAGATTAACGTATGGCGGACTTGATTACCTGGCTATGCGTGCATTATCCAAGCGAGACTCGATGTACTCTGTTGGAAACCAGATTGGTGTCGGGAAGGAGGCTGGTGGGTTCGCTTTAGCGATTCTCAATATATTCACCTATGGAATGACTGATCACACGGCACAGATGTGTACATAGTTGCAGACGCGGAGGGTAATCAATTGGTCCTTAAACTACACAGGTAAGCTGGTGACGAGGCTAGGTTACATGAGCTTTACACTCATGGAATTAGGCTAGGCCGTATTTCATTTCGTGCCATCAAGGAAAAAAGAGATTATATGGGAAAGCGCAAGTCGGCGTCGTGGATGTATATGTCGCGATTAGCGGCGCAGAAAGAATGGGCTTTTATGAAAGTCAGTTAGCTGCAGGACTTATGACGCAATCTAATCTACCGAGAGCGTGGCGCTGACGGAATGACTGCAGATCCTTCACGAACATGATTTTCCGGTCCCCCGGCCTGTTGATCAAGCCAGACATTGCATCCTTATGGAAGCAATCGATGCATATCCGCTGTAAGCACACGCTCGCATCGCCACTCTCTTTGTTCTCATGGTAGATTCAGACGACAGATCGCTGACGTTCCGTCGCCGGGCAAGTTATACTCGACGTTAATGGATATCATTGTACGATTTGCGCGGGCGGGGCTTATTCATAGCGATTATAACGAATTCAATATCCTGATTCAACGAGAGAGTGGCGAACCGATAGTCATTGATTTTCCGCAGATGGTCAGCACGTCACACGAAAATGCTGAATGGTGCGCAATCGCCGTACTCGACCTTGTTTGACACAGCCTAATGTGTTCATCAAGGTACTTCAATCGTGATGTGGAATGTATACGTACCTTTTTCCGCCGACGTTTCAAGTACGAAAGTGCGTTGTACCCCAGGTTCAAGACTGTCAAAGCCGAATCAAATGGCGAACATGATGGTTTCCGATTGGATGTAATGGTTGCAGCTAGCGGTTTTGCGAAGAAGGACCAAAACACTTTAGAGGAGGTGAGGACCCTTGCAGCTGACACCTTTTGAGGCCTTATGAATAACGCTGTAGTATATGGAAGCTGTCCGAGCAAATGAACCTCAGGATGACGCAGATCAAAACAGCTCCGATGAAGAGGAGGAAGAGGAAGAAGAGGAAGAAAGTGACGAGGGCGAAGCTGACAACGTTCTGGACAGCCACGATGACACCGTCCAGGGTGATGGACACAGTGAATCGGAGATGCAAGAGCATGAGGGCATGCAAACTCCTCTAAGCACCAAAGTGCCATCGTGTTCACAACCTGGGCCAAGAACTGACACGTTCAACTCCCCGGACCCAATTTCGCGGCCCAACAGCCGCATGTCTCGGTTGTCAAGATCACCGCCACGCTCCCGGTCGCCTTCGCCTGATAGTTTGGCAAAGATGGCTGCTTCTCTGAGCCTACAGGACGCTGCTTTTCGGGAGAGGGTCGCATCTGACCTCGCCAAGCGTTCACGCCAGCAAAAAAAATACCACACAAAACGTGGTGCACAGAGAGCCGGAAGACCGCAAGGAAGCAAAGCCAAGCAGGACACGAGGGTCAAACTTGACAAAAGCGGAATATGGGAGTAATTTTCTCAAAGAAAATCAGATTGATTGTCTTTCGGGGTTGAAGACCCTGTGTCGAATTACGAGTTGAAACGGATGATCCAAAGCTGTTCGGGTTCCTATCACATTATTAAAAGGGTTGTTCACTTTCGAAATTCCGGATCGTCGTAGCTCATAGTGGAAAAAGTCCCGCTCACCCCCTATGGCAGTAACACGAGGGCGGCTATACTGTCTTAAGGAGTTAGTAGTGATCGGCGGAACTTGGGGAATGATTAATGATGAGTGCCCTTCGTACGTCCTTGAAAACGTTTGTGGCACGCAGTCAGCATCGAAAGTCTAATATTTTTTTGGGTCGGCATGGGACCTTAGCATGTGACGGGTGGCGCATGAGCCCACATGGAGGGCATGGATATGAATTTCAAACGGGCTGAAATGAAGGCAGCGCCGGGGCCGCGAAGACGGTTGTGATGTACCCGTGCATTAGGCTGAGGGTTCAATCTGAGGTATTAATTGCCGATAACTAAGGACCAGCAGCGGCTGCCGATTACGAAGGATGTCGATTAGTTCCGCTGGGGGAAGATGAGATCCTGGTGAAAGAACGAGAAGGCGATGAGACATTATAGGCGTTTCCCGAGGTAGTCACATTTGGGAACAATATATCTACTGTACACGTTGTTGAACCTTGCAGATGGGAGGTCTATTATATACTGGTGGCCTCGTAAGCAGTAGCATAAGTAATAGGGAATGCCGTGGTTCGATTATGTACGATACAGGTGCGATGAACAAGCGATTAAAGAAATACATAAGGTGGTTGTGGCGAGTGGAACCCTGGAATGCAGCGAAATAGGGGACTATGATCTTGCCGAATAGGCCAGGGAATCCATGATCATCGGGCCTGCGGAATTGATGGCGGTCCTTGCGTTTAAGGCCATTCCGGGTGAATCCATAGAGTGACGGCGTACATCTGCTTCAAGGGAAATGGAGGAAGTAAGTGCTTGGGTGCCGAGCAGCTTGTGCAGATTATTATTCTACGAAAAAGCTAGTTTAAATGTGACTTTAGAGGTGAATAAACGAAAAAATGTACCGAACGTTCCAGCTCTAGCAATTTGAGCTTTGTGTGGGTAGCATCGTGCTGTAATCCAGCTACCATACTCTTTGTAAAAATAAAATGAGCGGTTGGATTAAAATGTAAATATAAAATGAATTGTTACCTTGGCCGTCTTTGAATTGAGGCCCCGGTATGGCTCGAGGCGTTGAAATGGGATTGGATAAAGGCCGATCCCGAGCAGTTGGTTGTGTAACCGATCGATGTGCGCCTCGAGAGAGGCGATGTAAATGGTACGCCTGTGTGGTGCGCCCATGGTTGACCTGAAAGCGAAATGAATGGGTGAATGAGTTGAAGTGAATGAATGAAGGACGGACAATTCCTGAGGAGAAAAGAGTTGTTTCTCAAGGACATGGTTCCATATTTTTCGTCGCTTGGAACCGTCCTTCTTTGCGTAAAGGCGGGCGTATGGATGTGCGATAGTGAAACGAGATGCTCTATGTGAATTATCACGAGATGGGTGTTCGACGGAGGAGGTATCAGAAGATTGGTCTGTAGATACGGGGCTCTCGGATAGTCTAGATTTTATGAAGGAAGACTGGTCTTTCTGTTGTGGAAAGAGATATGGGGAGTGGGTTGAATAATGGTAAGGGGGCGGCGAGTCATGATACATGGGGTAGATGGAGATTGTAGAATTCATTGTAGTGAAATAAATATTGAAGGTAGAAATATTATATATAACATTGGTGTGGCCGAACTGGTCTAAATTAAGATCGCCAATCTTGTTACTTCAGCCGCAGTTTTTCCGGGAGAGGCTTCTGGCGCCACGATCCGGGCCCGCGGCGCTTAAGAGGTGATAGCACGACCGCGACAATCTAAATTCAAGTCCGCGAGTACCCGTCTTATATTCTCACGGTTAACCCTCGGACAACTACGATTTGAGGCTAGCATCTCGTACAACGTTGATCATCATCGTTCCTCGCAACTGAATTAGCCTTTGAGACACAAACAATTCTTGCGGTATTACGGCTCATGATCTGCGGGTATCCATAAACGTGTGTCACCAACTCGAGTACCCTGAACCTTGCCTCTCATCGACCAATATTCATTTCCCATTTCACCTCGGCACCTAGTTTCCATTTAACGAATCTAATCAATTATATACCATGCCCACTCAGCATATGCATGTCATATATTTCTCTCTATTTAGCCTCCCCCTTCGCACTTCTCCAACCCCAACAATCATGTATCCCATCCCATCTAATCCTCAATACCATCAACAATTTACTGACCCCACTAGCTTGCATCTTGCTCCATCTTCTGACTACAACAACACTACCGCTAGACGTGACCCCTACGGCCTGCCCGAAGATCCATCGATCCCCTTGAATTATTCCTACCCGTCCATTCCATCTTACGACTACTCAGACACACAGGTACAACCAGAGTTGCATTTGCATACTCCAGTCCCAGTCCCCTACGGCCCACCTCATGTGCCACACTTTTCTCGTCAAATCACACCACCATACGTGGAGCAAACGTACTATGACCACCACGTCCCATACCCCGCTTCTTTAAATCAAGCACACCCGCAGTCCACAACCATCAATACCGATATCCTCAATTATTATGCAAACGCCCCTCAACTTCTGTTCCCAACCCCCTCGGAACTTCTTACAGACCTTTCAACACCGTCGGCTCAAATCCCCCCCACTCTCTCAGCCTCCTCGTCCTTGTCTCACCAGACACAGCGCGAGCAGTCTCAAAGCAGTGAACGTAGCACTGAGCCTCCTACCTCCGCTGCGCCTAACACGAGTAAGACAGAAAGTCAACGCAAGGCACGACAACGTGCCGTTGCCGAAGAGATAGGTTTTATTCCTACCGATCCGTAAGTTGTTTTGTTTCAACAAATTCACCTCCAGACCTTGACCGATATTTTCCAGCGACACTATTTCGTCACACGAGAAAAAACGTCACTATCTGGAGTGTCTCGAACATTATGTCTTGTATTTGCACGAGCAACTGCGTCTCGTCAACACAGCTCCGCTTGACCTCGAGCGCGTCTCTACCTATCGGGGTCTGAGCTCTCGCAGCATCAGAACATTGCTCGTGCATATGCAAAACACAAACCGCCGCCTTCATGAAAATACGCTGGAAGAGGAGCAGGTGGTAAGTCAACCCCTCCTTCCATTCCTCTGTGGGGCACTCACGATCACTCTGCAGTTTTTGGATCTCTCCTCTGAAGTAATGGCGGCGCATGGAGCAGGATTTCCCATGAGACGACATTCGGTTGATGTCATCGATCAGACGACTAGCAGCTATCCATCTGACTCCGCGAATATCGGTGCTACTACTAGTAGTACCAGAGATGGCGATCGCGTATTTTTAGGAACCGGTATATCGTTGAGCGGTGTTGACCAACGTCAGCTTACCTCCGACTAATATAACGGCGCCTTGTTCTGCCTTCTGGATACCAGTAAAGGTCGTTTTTGGTTCCCGTTCATTCTGCCTGTTCTTGTAACACCTCCGTCGCATTGATTTCTTTTGTATTTTATCGTCCACTTATGATTCAGTAGTTACAGTTTGTGTATGTATTTAGACATGAGCATTGCAGGCAAGTGAGGAAATCTGAGCAACTGTTATGATGAACTCGATTGAGCAGGTCTCCGATACGGGCAGTTGCGCCTCATGGAGCTGATTAATGATTATGCAAACAAGTCGTGCTACTTGCAATGGTACCACACCTTGCCCGGGCCGATACAGGACGAGTGACGCGAGCAATATGGCCCGACCTCTCGGCTCTGGTAAACTACCCACACGCGCAAGAACTGGGCCCCCCAGATGCCGCTCCTACATACCAAAGTCTGCTTAATTAATGGTAAAGGATTTCCAGCTACCCAGAATCGCACGAAGAGCTATTGATCAGGCGTCTTTAATCAATCTGGCGCGCGTAGTTGGCGGCGCATGCTTCGTCATGGTCAGGGGTCGGCACCTGTGAAGACATCCCCCATCACATTCACTCAGTTCCAGACATTCATCGTTGAGCAAGTAGAACTGTCCAAGTAAAGCGTTCCCAAAGTCGCAATGCACCTGCGAATCTACATAAAAAAAGGCCGCCGAAGGCGAACCGACAGATTGAATTTCATAGCGCTTGGGGGACTATTTCCGTTTATGGGACTCGTAGCATACGCTTGACAAGTGGCGTTCCTCGGTCAACTCAAGCGCGTATGGCTCCTCCATTACCTACGTCTGCAAGCTGCGGTTCTGAACTGGGTTCATGGTTACACGTACATGCCAATCATCCGAAGCAAGGCACAGAATGCACACTCACCTTCCCTTCCCTTCCCTTCCTACTTCCGAATCCATGTACCCCGTCAACAATTAATCGCCAGAAGGACCGTCGGGGAGCATCAATCACTCGGATTATAGTCGTCCAGAATACCTAACTCGTCCTGTCCTCCTCCCCTCGGACTCGGTACTAGACACCAATCAATCAGCAACCAAGTCGCCGGTCAACGCCACACCTGGTCAAGCCCTGGACACTCAGCCCGTCGGAGAAAGGGGACGACAAGCGCTATGTAAAAGATGAATCCACGTCCCATATTAACCCATGCGATCAAGAAGCCGTGGTATCGTGATCTGAAAATCTCATTATTCATAAAGCCGCTGAAGACCACTGACCTTCCTCACCATTTTCAGATGTGAAACATCTCGAGGGTCGACCATACATACTCGAGGAACGAAATCCAACATCATATTCAAGTCAGCGAGCCTCCGCGAGCGTTGAGCAATCGCTAACGGCATCAAGAGATAGTACTGCGTACATTGTCCAGCGAGCGGCCTTCTCTCCAAGGGCTCATTTCCGTGGAAGATGAGTCTGACAGCAACCTTCATATCGACAGACTCGGACCAGATTTCATCCACCTTCGAGTTGTCAGCGGGGCACCCGCTTTTACGTCGTAGACAACTTTGGTCCCATCATTTCTAAAATTGGCAAATGCGTCAAGCGGTGCGCTCTCGAGAACTCCCATAACCAGCCGTTGTGACCATTAATCGCGTATATTGACCCAGTATCCGCTTATCTCGACCGGACTTTCTGACTTTCCAGCTGAGATCCTCTGGCAACAGAACCCCGTGCAGTACTCAAAATTTGATCCTACCACAACACTGGCATTCATACAGGTTGACATAGTTCCCCACCATCATTCGAATGGGTGGTGCTACCGTCTTGAAAACTGAACGGGACCTTTTGTTTTTGTCCAACTTCGCAGATAGAAGCGCCCAACCGAATAAAATGACAGGGTGTTTTTGATATGAAAGTCGTTGGTTCGCTAGTAATATCGGCAAAATCAATTTGCGCTACCACCTCGCAAAATACTTACTTGATACTGGTTTAAGCGCCGTACCACATCTTCGACGCAGGTGGTCAGGTACATGCCAGCGACGGTGTCACGCACAATCACGAGAAGCGAACATGGTTCAATTTAAAGTGGAAGGCGGCAAAGAAGCACAGCTCACCCAGATCGTTCAAATCAAAACGCAATCTGCACAGATCACTCCAACTTCTTTGTGCACTAAGAATTAAAATATTAATGGCCCACCGATTGCTGTTTGCGATACGATGAAGAACGGCATTCATACGAGCCACTCATCAGTAAGTAATCGTCAGATGAACGTCGAGATACACCATTGACAGCCATCCTCTTCTAGATTCTTCTCGCGTATCGCATCATGCTGTCGCCATATGGTGCATTATGCGAACATTCTGCATATGCACCATCAAGGACCGTTTCACGCATCACAGTTGTGAGTCTAAGCGTATTCTGCACAAAATAACGCATAACAAACGTACGATTACACCAACGGACATCGGCTTCGCAAGTGCCGACAGCAACGAAGTCTCTGATAAATAAGGCGAGAAAGAAGAAAAGCGGTGATGAGATCCTGATAACAAGTAGAAGAGGGGAAATGCATCACATATAGATTATCGGTATCAATACTTGCAAGCGTCATTGACACCAGTCTCTGCCCGCGAAACCTGCTATTGACGGGAAACACAGAATCATCAACGGGCATCTAGTATAGTTTGATAAGACGACGTCAACTTCGAGCTGTTGACGGACAATTAGCATCACACGAATCATGACACCCCTCGCTTCCGAGGCGATGAGTACGATACATACATACTTATGGAGGAGAGGACCCTAACTGCGCCATCTACGCATTTGGTTCGTCGGTTGGAGCAAATTTATGCTTGCCTCGAATCGCCACTTCCGTCATCCCTTTTCCGCTGCCGGTAACGCCGACTACAAGGCCGTTATCAGAAATCAAGAAGTCTGCGTTCAAACCAACTGAAACGATACGCACCACGGCCTAATGGGTTGTCGGGCGTCTTGAAGATGCTGGTGCCTGCCACACCGGCAATATGGACGCCCTTCTTCTCAGACTTCTTAGCAAACTTCTGCCACGTCGCCTGTTTTGCGAGTTGCTCCTTGGCTTTTGCAGCTTTGACCTCGAGTTTTTTCTCGTTGCGCTTCTTCTTCCGATCCCTCTCCTCGTCCTCTGCTTTGGTTAGCTTTCTTTTGCTCGGCGCTGATACTTTCTCCTGGTGATTTGCTGGTAGTGCCTTGATTTCTGATCCTTTTATCAATTCCGTCGTATTGTAGCCTTTGAACATGATGCTGTATACAGGGTTCTCTGCGGAGCCACCGACGCTGGTAATGCGTGCAGGATACCAATTGCCATCACCCGAGTATTTGGCAAGACAGTCGCTTCCTGCAGTCCATGTGTGTGAAGGTGTTGAGTTTGCTGTTTTACGCACAGAATCTGTACGTGATGAGGAAGCGGCTTGGGCAAGCGACTGTTGGGTGAGAGAGATAAGTTCTTGTAGTTCCGAACGGAGGGAGAGGAGTCCGGCATTTTCAGTATCTGTTTGGAGTGCGAGCTCGACCTGAGAGAGCTGAACTTGATATGTCTCGAGATCCGTAGTGTCCATCTTCAAGGTAATGTTGGAGTAGTTGGAGAGGGGAGGACCGTGCGTAGTATACCTTTTGTCTGGGGTTGGGGTTTATTAGGGTTAAGGTTACAGTATAACTGATTATCTCAAAAAGTCATCTCTTCCCCGCAGATTAGAAGCTTTCAATCTTGGCGAACTTTGGGTATATGAATGGAATCAATACATTGCATAAGAATGGTACAACTTGTAAATGCATACGAAAAAAATCCGCAAAGTAATTGAGATATTGACGATAAATAATATCAGACCCTACTTATTCAATGTCCTGGTATGGAGGAAGCTCATCACCATCTTTGACCTCGCTGCGTACATTTCCGCTGTCAGTGCCAGCGCTAGCAAGAACACGTTCTCTCTCTTCACGTTCAAGTCTTTTCTTCTCCTCCTCGGCAGACTCATGTTCAGAAGTAGAGGATGTCCCCGCTGCGGATACCCGCTCGCGTTCCTCGCGCTCAAGGCGACTCTTCTCTTCTGCTGCGGTCTCGTGTGACTGTCCATATAGATCATCAAATGGTGAGTTTCCCGGGAGACCACCACTGCGTGGTCCCGCAGCATCTGAGGCACGGCGTATGTCACGAAGAGAGCCGCTAGCAGGGCCTGGACCAGATGAACTCGCAAGTACAGGAACACCAGTTTCAGCCACCGTAGGTGCATCTTCCGGGATTACGATGGGAGGAAGCGAGTGATCCTCCGGGATTGGCGCAGGAGATAGATTGAGTGTCCTCGGGTCAATTGGAGGAGAGTGCGACGCGTCTCCGAACTTTTCTGCGGCTTGAGGTGGAGGTGTGATGGGCACACCTGGATGACCAGCGTTTGCTTCGGGGTTGGATGCGAGACTGTCCAGTTCCGAAGCGTGACTCTCCCCAAATGATTGAGTGTTAGCCCGCGAAAGATTTGCGCCGGGGTGTGTGGCAAAGTAGGTACTCCCGGGAGTATAATTATCCAGTGCGTTTTGAAGCGCAGCACGAGCAGCGGCTGTTTCCTGAGCTCCTGTATAAGGACTTGAAGTTGAAGGGGGAATTGGTGGCAAGGCGGCAATAATAGGCTTGGAAGCCTGCGACAATATGACTAGTTTTTCTCCAAACTGCAAAAGATTGTGTCAGGACACCTTTATAACATCACAAAGTAATTTACCTCGCGTATAGCGTCCCACTTCTGCGATTCGCTCTCACGAATTGCCTTCCGCTTCAAGATCTCATGTTCCTTTTCGAGGGGCTCGTCGACATGTTCAGCCTTGGCGAGTGTCTGTTTTAGTTCAGAAAGCTTCTGCTCCGTGCCCTTCTCTAGATTATGCTCCATACGAGAAATTTGGGTGCGCAATCCAGCACGGAAGTTGCGCTTTGGACCAAGGACAGCCTCGGCATCGCGAAGAGCTTTGAACGGCGCTCGTGCATTGTTAAGCTTGATCGCAACAGATGATGCAAGAGATCCCTGAACAAAGTTCAAGTACGCCAATCTGTCCGTTACTAAATGTCGAACCTCTCATTAGCTCAAATCACGTTATTGGGAAAGAGGTGGCCTACCATCCTTAAGATCTTCTGGCTGTGTCTGACCCCATGTGTACAATTCCTTGCTTTGCACCTTCGCATCCCTAGCAAGGGCATCACAATCGATTGCAACACCCTTTTCAGATGTGATGATTCTTTGCACTGGTGTGGTGGTGGTATATTGTTGTCCAATTGTGCGAAATTGATGCTGCAGTGCCTCCAAAGCAACTGAACGATGGCCGCCCTGAGCTGCGGATTGATTGGCAGATGGTTGGTCGGCGGTGGTGCCGGGGATATGGCCAGCGAGAGGGGTCTGGTTGATAGCACTCTGTGCCTTATCGGCAAACGATGACAAGAAACTTGACACTGACATGAAGTGGAATAGCCTAAGGTTGTGAGAATGAGTGGTTAGAGAGAGACTTAATCGCGTTTGGAGCTGTTGTCATAGGGTCTTTATACAGGAGACAATACGCAGTCACATCAATTGCGTCACACGCAGCGTTACGCAGTTGCACTGCCAAAGGTTGCACAGCAATGCACAGCTTCAGGTACGGACAGTGATTTCAATATTGTGTATCGCGATTCGCAGCAGCAGCACGAGCTTGAAATGAGAATATTCATCCGGACACCATACAAATGAATCAGGCATATCCAGCAAATCTATTTATAACTTTGCTCAATCGATATAATAGCAAACTTATGCACCCACTCAAATGACAAGCTTCTTCGCTGCCTTGCCCTTCTTCTCAGAATCCTTGTGCGAAAGGAACTCAACCTCGGTTGCGAGAGGACCGGCCAGTTTTTGGGTCTCGGGATAGCCTAGTACATTAATCTTGAAGTGCCGTCCAACTGTCTCGATGCGTTCACGTAACTTGTCCTCATCTCCAGAAGGCGCAAGGCGCGTCCAAATTGATAAACGGTAGAACTGCGGTCGGGTAGATACGATCACACCGGTGATAAGCGATTGAGTATTGGGTTCAGTTGCCTCCCCGCTTGTAAGATGGGGATCGAAGGTTTCACCAATAGCAGCAAGCATCTTTATGCAGCAATCAAAATAAAAAGATCAAGAGATGAAAGGGAGACGTACAGTGTAAAGCCACATTTTATCAACCTGACTGCGATTCTTCTCTTTGGGCAGCTGTATACTCCACTTGCCTCCATTCTTGTTGGCTTCATCTTCCCATGCAGGTATGATACCCTCCTGAAAGCGCTGTTAGGTAAACAAAGACACGGTTATGCGAAATACGTGCCTTGAAGAGGTAGTAATTTGCTTTCTGGGGGAGCTGTGAAGGAGGTACAATATGATTGTAGAGGCTATGCCTTGGTAAGCTTTCACTCTTCGACATAGGAGAAAAGGACTTACCCCCAAAACTCTTCAACACTGTCGAAGCTGACAACTCTTTTTATATCCTCCATCCATCCTTGTGCAGCTGCAGCACTGGGAGTCTGAGGAACGGGAGTTTGGGGGAAGGAAGAAATGGGAGTTTGGGGGAGGTTACGGCCTTTAGTAGCAGGGGAATCGAACCAAAGGGTCCACGGTGAGTATAGAGGATGCTGTATAGGAGAAAAATGAACACTCTAGAGCGGTGAGTCAATTCGGTTGCTCACCTTTACATTGAAGCTGGTAGGGTGACTGAAGACGGTGCGAATGTCGTCTGCCTGCGCTTGCATATCTACTTCTTGAATTTCACCAGGTTCTACGTCTGCTCCAATAGATTCTGAATTCTCAGCAAGAGCCGCGGCGATAGCAACCTTGTTAGCATGCTGAAAGGAGGCAGGTAGAGCAGTCATGGTGAAGTGAGCGGGGTTTGCAATCCTGTTGCTTTTGAGTTTCAAGACTATCAAAGTCTGTTAACAAGATTGAAAAGATATTGATCAAAGGATCGAATGAAGCTTGAAATCAGTTCTTTGAGTTGGCGAAGGCTTCCGGGGGTCGGTTGTTGTGTGTGATCAACAAGTTTATTTACTTGTTCACAAAATTAATTTCCCGGTCATTGCCGTATTCCGTGGTACCGCCGGCACACCGGGAACCGTCACGCAAGCCAGAATAATTTCTGTTCCTCCTCTGTCATGGATCCGTTCCATGCTAAACTCGTAGCTGCGGCGACGGGGTCAACGATGACCGCACTTACAAGTATGTTTCAATCATTTCTTCATCCATTAATATTTATTATATTCAGTGACTCCTTTTGACGTCGTGAAGACCCGTCTTCAGACTCAACCCAGGGTGCCTCTCTTTTCACCACCACCACTTAATAAATGCTGTCAGCCGGCACATATACCTTGCGTACGCAACATGTCCTCGTATGCACGTCCGCTAGCCACAGAAGAGGTTGTCTGCATTTTCGATCATGGCATATACCGCACAGAGCGTGTGAATGGGTTCTTGGATGCTGTCCGCCATGTATGGCGAGCAGAAGGTATGAGGGGATTATGGAAAGGTGTTGGCACAACACTGTAAGCTAACTTGATTCATTTGTTGGTCACAGTTCTCATCATGCAATAGACTCATCGGCGTTCCCTCATCATCGATATACATGCTCACTTATGACCATCTTCTACGAAATGTACTCCCTCCCCTTATTCCCTCCCCTATGTTTATCCCTCTCGTAGCTGGTATTACGGCTCGCGCTTCTCTTACTTCCCTATTTTCGCCACTAGAGCTCATACGAACCAACCTGCAATCGACCCCAGCATCCCCCGACAAACCACATACACTTCCATCTGTCCTCGCTTCCGTGCGTTCAATCGTCCAGAAACAGGGCATGTCCTTCCTATGGCGTGGTGTTGGTCCTACCTTGTGGCGTGATGTGCCTTTTAGTGGCATATATTGGGCGGGCTACGATACTTGGAAAAGATTTTTCGAGAGCCGAGGAAAGAAGGGGGCATACGTTGCCTTTGCATGCGGTGCTATCAGTGGGACAACCGCGTCATTAGTAACTTCACCCTTTGATGTTTTGAAAACCCGACGGCAAGCTCTTCTCATGACTGGAACCATGTCATCACAGACTTCAGCTACGATACCACTATTGGCTCATATCGTTCGCACTGAAGGCACCGCTGCCTTGTTTGCTGGCGTTCTTCCTCGTACAGCCAAGATTGCACCAGCTTGCGGGATCATGATTGCATGTTTTGAGGTATGGTCACTCTACGTTGTTAAAACATGCGGCTTACCAAGTCATTCTAGGGAGTTGGCAAGTTTCTGGAGAAGGAGCAAGACTAGCTAGACCTATATTATATTTACATGGAGCATTAATGCATCGTCATCGTCATCGTCATCATCATCATCATCATCTACATTGATTCAATGTGTTCTAGATGTTAACTATTGGTATATGTGTAGCACTTCGTACATCCCTACTCAAAATTGGAAAACCGTCCCGATCTCAATCATCCCAGGCGGTTGAGCTGCTTCTTTGCGCTACTGAGTTTACCCCCAACAAGTTCAACATCGTTATTAAGTTCATCCAACAACTCGTTGTGCACCGCAAGCTCAGCACCGATTGCTTCCCCAAGGTGCCTTTGGCGTTGTAGTATATGCGTGAGTGTAGCAAGTTGACCATCCTGCTGCTCCATCTGAGTGTTCTGCAACTGCACAAGACCCTGATCGTCAAGCGGTCTCGTCACCTCCGTCTCTTGAGGTTTCTTAGCCCCAAACACTCGCGTGACTGGTTTGCTGAGGCTCAGCAGTGCAGCCCGATCCGACTCGGGAGCGATAGCAACATTTGTGAAGCCCTGTGAGGAAGGGGCTGCCGTAGGACGAGAAGCCTGTCGAGTGACGGTGACCATCTTTCCCAGCTTCTCGCAGTCGTCCTGCAAGCGTGCGACCATGTCTGTACGGCGTTGCAGCTCTCCCTGCGCCATAGCTGCCATGCCGAGTTCCTGGAGACCCTGCTTGAGCGTACGCACTCGAGAAAGGGTTTCCGCGAGCTTCTTCTTCGCTTGAACATTCGCAGTATGCGATGCACTGACGTCTCCCCGGTCAGAGAGCGCATCCCGCTTGTTTATATCTGCGCGGATGTCACGAATCTTGGCCTGCAGCTCGAGGTGCTCGTCGAGCCAGGAGGAAGAAGAGAACTGTTTAGAGGATGTGCTGCCTTCAGCCATGGTGCCCAAGCGGCCGACTGGCACACCAAGGAAGTCGCGGAAGGCATAGCATTCTCGCCATTTATCATCCTTTGCGCTGATTATGGCGCGCAAGTATGTCTCGAGACCAGCCCTGCGCTCCTCGGTCATGCTACTACTATCTCTAAAAGGTCCGCGGAGGATGGCGAGGGAGTTTTTGGGTGGTAGAGGTGCTGGGGATGAAGAGCCTGTAGACTTTGTGAGTTCTGTGTGTAATTCCACGAACTCGGAATAGCGTCTCCACATTTGCCATGAGCGGACATGGGCTTGAATTTCGATGCGGTAGACAATGTGAGGCTTAGGATCGGGGCGTTCTTCGTGCCCGCGTACGTAGACGGCTTGGATAGCGGTCATGGTGGTTGGTAGTATAGTGCCTTGTGTACAATGAGGCCGTCGCATGCTACAAGTTTACACACCACGGGCCTTCCGCACGTCTGCTGACTACTATTCACAGCTGCTCTCACAAAGATGGCAACATTATTGTATAACCTATGACATCTACGGGTACAGATCATGCAAAAATACAATTGCTAGTCAGATCCAGCTAACTGAGAATTTGAAAGCACATGAGATAACGAGACTCTGCAACGAACCCCTCGTTCCACTAACTCTGTGCGCCATCATCATGAAATACCATCTGGAGAGAGCAGTGTGCTTGGAGCAGCGGACAGGGCCGCAATCTCCTCAACTGACTCGCCGATACCCACCTCACCGATAACGTACCGAAGAACGTCGCTCAGTGTGATTATGCCAAGCAGGCGTCCTTTCTTTCCGCCTTTCTTCTCCTCCTCCTGTAAGATTATGATTGGTATAGTGAGTGTGTAGTCAGAACAAAGCCTTACATCTCCTTCCACGACGACAAGTCGGTGGACTCTACGTTTCTTGATTAGCTCCAGTAGTGTTCCCAGCGAATCGCCAGCTGTACAAATGACAACTCCTGGGAAGTCCGGAGAGCGTTGGTTAAGGGCCTCTGATATCGTAAGGTCGAGGGATTGATACGCTCCTAGACGCACAAGAGTCTGCAAAAAGATAAGATTTGGTATCCACATAATAGGACATGACGTACGATCACATCTACTGTTTCGTACAGATTCACGACAACACCGTCCTGGTCGATGATAGGGACTGCAGATATGGCACGCTCAGAAAACATATGGACGACGTCAAATACAGGGGTATCGAGCGTGGCGGTTGCGATCGGATAATATGGATTCTGAGTTTCCGGGTTTTCCGGGTCTGGGGGCGGTGGATTTGATGAAACATAGGTACCGATCTTGAGTTTCCGGAGCGAGAGATGGAGTTGCTGAATTTCCCTCGTGCACTAGAAAGGTAAGGTGAATGAAAATCTTACGTGAAGGCAGGGCGTTGTGTTACATTTATAGAGATAAATTTGAGAAGTCTATACTGTGTGAGGACCGAAACGATGACTTCGTGACCTGTTTCTGTATCATAATCGAGGAGAGGTAATCGGCGAGCATGTGTTTGAATTAAGACTCTGGCAGCCTTGTAAAGGGTACTATTTGGATGTTCTGCTAGCATTGGAGGGGTGGCTACACCAAGGCTCCTCTCGATATCTAAGTTAAGAGCAGAAGATGATCAGTTTAGGGATACGATACCGCGGCAGCCCGTATACGTGCCTCGTATTGATTCTAGCCTAAAAGTCTCCACGTCTGCTGCTGCAGCTTCATAATTTGCTGTGTCGTAATAATATTGAATGAGATGTATTATATCTAAGACTGTAAGCATCCCAGCAAACTTTGACTTTTCGCTGTTCCATAATGGTGCAGAGACCACACCTGTGGTGACAGTGAGGAAAGGTGAATAGTAGCGATTAAAGGATTACCATTGAGAAGCAAACATTGTAAAGCTTTTTTGACATTCAATTTAGTGTCAAGGACTATGAGCCTGAAGCTAACAGGGAATGCATCGTAAGAAGTTCTTCCTTTGAGGAGGTTACGAATGGCATGTAGGGCAGCGTCGTGAGTTTCCTGAGATTGAGGTGGAGGTATATGAGAGGGGGCGCGTCTTCTCGTCGATCCCTTTCTTTTGAGCGTCTTCGGAGAGGGAGCTACGGATGGTAAGAGCGTCGTGTTCATCGCAGAGGTTAATGCTTAAGGTGTATTTCCCACGCTTCATTAATAATTCCTGGACCCGTCTAGGGTATACAGCCTGAGGCTGTACAGTCGACTCCCTCCTAACGCATACCAGGTATAACCCATACTCCCTCATAGGACATACATTTTTGGATTTCCAAAGTTAGGTTTCAGGGCTTTTGCTCTCTTGAATACCCCATACTCCCTAATAGGCCATACATCTGGGGCTATCCCAAGAGGTATGCGTTAGGAGGGAGTCGACTGTATACCCTAGACTAGTGTTGCCGCGGCTCCGGCTTATTACCGGTTTTAGCCGTGGCCGAAACTATGAATAGCTGAGCCGGCACGTGATTCTAGCTTATATAATTTACGGTCTGGCTCGGCTCAAACATATTTTTAAACTATTAAGTCAAAAAATAGCAGAATATTTCGATCCTGGAATATCCAGGACATCCGGGACATCCGACCCATGGCTGACTTAGCATCATGTGTAGTTCCCACGTACCTGATACAACAGCGACGTGTAGTTAATGACCAAAATAGGTAAGTATGCTCCCGTGCTCACTGCGTGCATTGCTGAAACCTTCATGCTTGCTGTTGCACACAGCGAGCTCAATTATTTTACCATTTTCACACATTTTTTTGTAATTCTTTCACTGCATCATGTCACATGTCATTAAATATCAAATATTTGTATTTTTAGATCTCCTAAGTGTACATAATTGAATGAATACTATAATGGGGTCCTCCACCTCATCCCTTGGGCCTCAAACCATTCTAAAAAGGCTCCTGAGAGTCACCTGAGAGTCAACAGTGTGCCAGGAAAGAGTTCTACCTGCAAGTGCTAGCTGGGTACTAGTAGCAGCCATGGTCACGGTGTCAGCCATGAGTCGTGACACACACGGCGGCGCTGTGGGTCACGTGGTATGTTGTGACCGTGAGATTTCCATTATACATGCAAGTGGGTCAGATGGGTTGGATGTCCCAGATATTCCAGGATCGAGATGTCCTCAAAAATAGAATGTCAATGAAAATTTTAGAATAATCAAAAATCAAAGACTTGATGGCCAAAAAGGAAAAGCTGTAGCAGTGCTCGTTGATCTAACAAACTCACATTGTGCTCTAAATCTATGATAAATGCATAACATATAACACAAATGGATGACTTCCTGTGGGATTTAGAATTCCAGATACATGATTCAAACCCTATGTGCTGAGGAGCTGCTGTGAAATGTAAGCAACTTCCAACTCCGCACATCAAATGCAGCCTGTGTTACGCACTTAAATAGATCTGTTAGGTGGAGCCCTAAGAGGGTGTTACGCACTCAAATAGATCTGTTATGCGGAGCCCTAAGAGGGGCGTCGTCCGCTAACGTTCGTGACGTAACCGGAAGGGTCCGGTGTAGCGACTGAGACTGGCGACGTCGAGTCGGCAGATATCAGAGACGCGCGTGTCACGTGACTTCTAAGACGGGTGTCTTCAAAGTCACTGACAATCTCAAAGTAAGGACAGTCTTGTCCGAACGATGAGGTGGTCGATCGAGGTAGACTTAGGCGCGATGAGCACCTAAGAAAAGATACTAGAGACTGAAGCTGAGGGGGCTTCAGAGGGAAGTATGTTCGAGGGAAGATTGAGTAGATTCAAGTTAGGGAATCTAGTACAGAGTGACCGACTACTTATACTAAGTGGAAAGGGTTAAGGGCAAGGCTACCGTACTGTAGGTAAGGGCAAAGGGGAAACGGAAAGGGTATAGGTACGCTGGTAGCAGAGCCTGATTAGTGATGTAAGGTCGAATGCGGAATGAGACCGAGAAACGTTGGAACGATCCAACGGTAAATGATACAATGTGCATCATGCACGAGTCAAAGGAAAGATAAGACAAGATAAGGAAAGCCACATTGGTGGCACGAGTCAGAACGAGTCATAGCCCGAAGGCACGTGCGCACGTTGGTGCGATAGGAGGGGGATGAGGGACGGGAACGGTCCCGAGGATCCGGTCAACGGATAGTCGGTAGAGAAGTGCGAGCCGGAGGCATACGAGGGCGAGGACGAAGGGGAAAAATGATAGGGGGGCCATGTAGCCGATGTTACTTGTAACATTACCCCCGTTTCAAGGTAGAGTTCCACGAACTCTTTAGTCGTCGTCCAGAGGAACGTAGTCGTCCTGGTTGTTATACCATGCGGGGTCGAAGTCGAGGTCTTCGAGCCAGGAGGCGGCTTCGATTGCATTCTCTTCGCGTTCTTGCTCAAGGCGAGCAGCGTCCTGGTCATACGCAGCTTCAAGCTGCTGCATGTCCCTGTAGAACCGGTCGGAAGAGGTTCCACGGCGAAGGATCTTTCTGCCGTCAAGTCGAGGGCAGAAGGGAGTGAGATGTTTTGGGGCAAATTGCCCACAAATGCGGCAGAAGTATTGCGCGCAGTGCTTCTGTTTGTGTCCATAGACACGGCACTGGCGGCAGACAATGTTGCTGTGGTAGACCTGGGTGGTCTCGGTGGCATCACGACGCGCGTCGTTGATGGCGTCTTCCTGGGCTTCCTCGCGAGGATAGTGCCTAGTGAAGTTCTGGGTGCGCGGTCGATGCGCGTGGGAGAGGGGTAGTCCTAGGGACAAGATGGATCGTGCACGAGCACGGTGATTTCGGCGTTGCGGAATGGGAAGGGGTTCCGGAGAACCAATAGAGAGGTGTGGGACCGTCTCGGTGGGTACCCAATCGTCGGGGTTGAGAACAGGTGATGCGGGAGGGCATTCATCCAACTCTGGGATGATGATAGAGATGGTGTCAGCATCGAGGATGGGGGAGGGGTTACGTGGAGCGTAGAGCTCGCGTTCGTATTCGTTATAGAGACGGTCGATCTCGGGGTTGGTCAACTGGGTGACATTGGGGATCTGCTCTGGTGATTCAGAGCGGGGTAGTTGGGGAAGGAAGGGGGTCGGAGCTCTGTCATAGACAGCACGCTCGACGACTGCAAGCGGGTCGGGAGGGGGATTAAATGCCCGCTCCTCCTCGACGGCCATGACGGCGGCATGGAAGTTCCTAAGTTCAAACAGATTTAGCAAGGCTCGTTTGATCTTGCCTTGGTTGTATCTGGTCGAGACGGTGGATAGGGAAGTCTCCCTAGCCAGGTCAATCCTGGCGATGTCGCCGGTGAGGGCATCGGTGGCCCTGAAGGCCTGAACGAGGTTCATGGTTATGTCGTCGTTGGTGCGGTTGAGATAGTTGTCGAGTCGGATTGCATACTGGGGATCGCAGATGACTGCT